TACAAAAATATTCATGCGACCTATACATTTATTTCTAGAAATTTAAATGACAAAGAAAAAATAAATGTTAGAAAAAATGTTTTAAAGTCCTAAAATCTAAAACGTTATAAATTAATTTTTTTTTGTATATTTTTGTAGAAAATAATTTAAGTTAATAATTAATAAAAACCTAATTATTCTAATTAATTTTACAAATTAAAAAATAAGACCTAAAATCTAATAAGAAAAAAGTTAATTAAGAAAACCTAAAAGACTATTTTTATTTTATTTTTATGTAATATTATGATTTTTATATATTTTGATTTTAATTGTAAAAAAGAAATAAATGAGTGGAAATTGAGTTTTAAAGAGAGAATATGATCGTGTCCTAGCCATGGTAACTCATCATCCATGCGTTAAAGCTTGCATTTTCTTATTCAAACCTGTTCTAAACACCATGATGAACTCATTTACGCACACGAAATTAGTTAAATATGCATAGATTAAAAGATTCGAATTCAAGAAAATTACCACAATTGGTGGGCTTGTGTAAGCTATTCCAGACGTGAATAGATTTGTTTCTGGACTTGGTGAGATTCCTGGGAGCTTCGGGAACACAATTTGAGGCTTGGTTTTGATTGAGAGTGGATGGAAATTTTGATACGAGTTTGCACTTTTCTTGAGAATTTTGAGAGATTTTTAAAGTGGTTCTTGAGGCAGTAGCTCTTGTCTTTTTCACTTGAGTCTTGCATGTATTTACAGAGGAATGAAAATGGATCAAAACAAGGCAAGGATCTTGTATCATTATGTCACAATTCATTTCAAAGAAAACACATTAAAATCTTTCCAAAATTATTTTAAAAACATGCCAAACTTGAAGATTCTTGTTCCCAACATGTTTTCACGGTTTTGGTAAGCTCTCAAGAGGCCTCGGGCCTTCTAGAAGATACCCAAATGAAGCCCACACGTCCTTTGGTCCAGCAACTCATATTTTATTTGATTTATTTTGAATTAATTTAAATAAAATCAAAACAAATCAAATAAAAAATCAAAGTAATGTATAAATGGATTTAAAGGTCCTCTAACATGTTATAAATATGTTTAAACCTCAAAAGTTAGGCCTATTATTCCAAAAGTTTAATATTTCTCAAATGAAGTCTCATGCATTTTCTCAAAAATCACCCAACTTGCACAAATAATATCTTACTCAATTTTTATCTTTTGAAGGTGATCTTCGACTTTTTGGAAAGCTCAAGATGTCCTCTACAATCTCTATGTTGATAATTTTTGCATTTTATGACTTTATCTTGATGTAAGTTTCCTTGACAAAAATTGTATTTTTGTTGACTTTTGAAATGACCTATAATGTATTGGCTTACATCTCTCAAATGATGAATTTTTTGGATTTGAGCATACAGATACAAAGTTGTATAGAATTGAATTTCCTTAAAAATGGGCTTACGCGATTTCGTCGGGGATTAACGAGAATAAGAGCAAACAAAGGCCAATCACCATAGAGGCCTGTGAGAACAAGCTAAAGAATGGCGAAAAGAAAGCTTAAATGGAGCTGTTACTGTCTAGACGCGGTGGTGATGAGTTCAACGAAGCTCGAATACTCCAGTATGCTTGGCGTTCTCCCTTATTTATCTGTATTTGCCTCTACTTCTTCCAATGCTTCTTCTTATTTTCTTTACTGGTTATGTTGTGTCGTAATGTTACGATGTTTGTTGTTGACACAATTATTGATGACAAGGTGATGATAATGTCGTAGTTTCTGAGAGATGAAGATTACGACGTTGATGTAAAAAATTGCATAAAGAGTTTTCTGAGATCCTCTCGTGGTGATTCTCTTAGAAATTCGAGAATGAATCGTGATTCAAGGTGAGGATGAAGAGGGAGTTCTTGAGAGATGAAGGTTTGTTGAGGAAAAAAGGGTGAAGATTGGAGGAGATTTTCAGAGAGAGATTGAAGGGAATTCCTCAGAAATCTCAGAGATTCAGCAATGAGTATCTTTTTGTGATTTTGTTTTGGTGATTCTTCTACAGGATCAAGAATGAATCATGATGGTGATGAAGAGAGCAGAGAGAAAGCCAGATAAAGTTTGAAGCTCTCAGATTTTTCTGGTGATTGAAGGAGATGCAAAGAATTTCATATAGGGAGGTTGGTGATTGAGGAATCGTGAAGAGAGTGATGAAGGATGTGCAGCGGAATTTTTTTTAGAGGATCTTCTTGAGGTGAGTTTTTCCCTGTTAGTTTATGTTGTGAAAATCGTGGATGAAAAAAAATCCCCTGTGAAATTAGTTTTCTGTTATATGCTGTTAGGAAGTTGGTTAGAAACAGTTATGAGTAGCTGGTTGTTAGAGTTAGTTATCTGACTCTGTTAATTCTGTTTCTGAGAGTCAATTATGGGTTTTTAAATTTTGTTATGGTTGTTATCTCTGTTAGTTTGAAATTCGGTTATGCTGCGAGTTTGAGGGTTGGTTATAGTTTGTTATGGCAGTTAGAGTGACAGTTGGCACAATTAATTGTAATTTGTTAGAGAGTTAGTTGAAGCTTGAAACATGTTGAGCTGAAACTCCTGATTCTAATTTAATTATTTCTGATTTAAAACTTTCCCTCATATTTTCCACAGTTTTTCCCTTTCTACAGTGCAAATTTCTTCTTTTAATATTTTCTGTTTAAAAAATGGAACATGCAGAGCTGGTTTAGTTTTAGTTAACATTTATCTGTTAGTTTTTTTTGTGGTTAACCATTTTAATGGCTTATGTATTGCAGGGAAGCTATATCATTTCTGATTTTTCTTTGGCTCAGGTTAGCAATTATGGTCAACTAATATTGCTATGTTAGTTCTGATGAAAACGGTCAGCCGTTAGTTGTTAAAAGAAACCCAGATTGAACTGTTAGTCTATGTGAACAAGTTATGAGATTGGTGACTGTTTGGTATTGGCTCATATGGACTGAACTAATTTTGTGGTTTTAATTTCTGAACTGGATTTTATATATGGGGCAGGGTTGTACTAGTTAATTGGTGAGCATGGTAATGGTATGGTATAAGCAATTTCGCATGCATGTCCAAATGGAAGGAAGCATGAAGATTGCTTGAGAGCATGAAGTTTGATGAAGATTAAACTTAGGGTTAGGATAGGTTTTGGTATTTTCATGTGGTTTGTAATGGCTACGATGTATTGAATTTTACTTGGATTAACTTTGTAACTTTGTAATATTTTGAAGATTCAATGACAAACCATTAAGTGATCAACATGTTCTCTTTTTTTTCTTCTCGAAATTGAATTCCAAACTTCAAAGTTCCTTTGATCTTGTGTTGCATAATCCCATTGCAATCTTGGGTGAAACATGTTTATCTTGGAAATTCAACAATAAAAACTAAATATTTAAAGCGACCTTCTCTTTCAAATTGCATTAGAACTTTTGATCGTTCTTTGCTTCAATAATCTTGAATGGATTTCCATGTTTAAGTGTCTTCAAATGTAACTTGAATGAACCATGATTTCTTCCTTGATCTCATCACTTTGAATGAAATGATGGATAAAAGCCCAAAAAGTTTTGCATAAGATCCAAAGCCAAGACTTGTATAACAAGTAATGAAACATAACTTCAAGTGATGGTGAAGACCAAATGAATCAATCCTTTAATGATGATAAGAACCCTAATCCACGCAGTAACTTGTAACCCAAGCAATGAACCAAAGACTTATGTCTTTCATTAATGCCCCAAACTCTATAATAAATCATGTTGATGAGCACCTGAATAGGGAAATAAAGGGTATGTATATGAGATTTATGAGATGCACACGTCAAATGATTTTATTAAAGGGTAGGACAAATCTGGGGTATTACACAAATACTTTAACCATTATCCAAATATTCATTCTATCCGAGCTAATGTTATTGCTCAAATTCATTTATATAGCTCGAAAATCAATCTCACCTTCAAATATAGTCTGTTTGATTTTGAAGTTCTAAAAGCTTTTTAGGTTACTTTAAATCCTCCCAGAGCCCCTAACATTAAGGAGATTTTTTGGAACCCTCCTCCTCATAGTTGGATGAGGTGTAACGTAGACGGTTCTTTTGTTTCTAGTTCTAATTATTTTTCCTATGGCCGTTTGTTTAGAAAAAGTTCTGGATAATTTATCTTAGCTTTCGTGGAACCTCTGAATTGGGAAAGCTCTTTGATTGCAAAGTTTTGTGGTGTCTTTCGCATCATTAAATTAGTTAGAGTTAGAGGTTGGACAAATCATTGAATTGAATCTAACGAAATAGTCAAAGCTTTTTCATCTGTAGAGTCAGGTGGTTTGTTTGCATCAAGGATATTCTGGACATGAAATTTATTATTTTCATATTTGTAGGGAAAGAAATATTTGTACAGATTATTTTGCTAATTTAAGCCGCACATCTAATATCTAATGTCTTCACTTTTTTTATTCTTTACTTATTAATATTATGAGTAATTATGTAAAAAAAAAATAACTTAGGTTTGCCTCTTTTAAAAAATTATATACAACTTTTTGGTTTAAGTCCCCTTACTCTTTTTGGTGTATCATTTTTTTTTTATACTTTCTCTGTTTTAAAATAACAGTTGTTTTAATAAATAAAAAATTTGTTTTAAAATGATTGTCATTCTCATATTTCAATATAGTAATGATTGTTATTTTTTCAATTTTATCCATTAATTATTATTTTATATACTATTTTCAATATATTAATAAGATTAATTTAGTAAAAATGTAATGTCACGTGATAATATAATTATATTTTTTAATCTACGTGCAAAAACTTTAAACGAGAATTATTTTAAAACGGAGGAAGTATATATTGACCTTTATAAAAAAAATTATCAAATAATTATAATTCAACAGAATATCTTATTTTTTATTAGCTGTATTCTATAAATTTATCCTACTAATTTCTTTTATAAGTTAATTTTAAACAAAAAAAAAAAAAAAAAACCAAAGTAGTATAGTGTGAACTTGAAGTTTTCATCCTATAGAGTAGGATGATGAAATGGATCTCCCATGTTTAGAAATATTAGACCCCACAAATCCCGCGTACCATTTTCTTATTTTTGCATACAACCCATTCCACCACCACAACCCTTCTTCCCTCTCATCTCGCCCACACCCACAATTAGAGAGAGAAGACCCCCACCTTCTCTCTCGAGGGTCCGGCACGCCGTGCCGTCCCACTCTTCCATGCTGCCGAACCTTTTTCATTAGCTTTCTCTCCTTCAACATTCGCGGTGCCTCTTCGCTTCCTTTGAAATATGTGTGCACCTTTATTGCATTTTTTATTACTCTTTTGTCGCTATTTGCGTCTCTCATCTTTGACTGGTCCCTCATTTTTCTGGATTTGGGCTTTATACCATTAAACACATTTATGATTCTGGGCCCCACTTTAATGCGGGAAATACTTTTTTTTATTTTCCATTTGAATTATTGACAACATGAAATGGAAATGATTACTTTCCACCAATAATGACAATAATTCTCTAGCATTTTATTTATTTTAGAACTCAACTTCGAACCTATAACTGACATTTAACCTAAGAATATTGTTATGTGTGAATTTTTAGTGGTTATTGTTATAGGTCTACAAAATATTTGTTGTTTTTTTTTTTATATAATATTTCCTTTATCTGTTTTGGCTGTATATACAAATGAGTAATTCAAGAAATCAAATGCATTTTGAAAATCACATGCATCCAACTGTTTAAAGTGTCAATCTTGTCCCTTTATGAGTTACTCATTTTTTTACTGTCAAACATAGTCATCAACGCGCTTTCATTCATTTCCTCCTTTCTTCTTATACATACATACATGCAAATAAATTCACTTCATTATTAGCATAAATTGAAGTTGAAGTTCCTCATTCTACACATTACATTTTCTGAAATTAATTGATTCATTGTTGTGTATCTAATTATCTCTGCATAATATACAGTTTCCTCCTTCAGCTGTGGGAGGAAATTAACATGGGGGCACCGTTCGAGGGAATCATTCAAGATGTTAAAGGAAGAGTTAAATGCTATAAACAAGATTGGGTCTGTGCAATCTGTTCTGGTGTTAGGTAATGCGTTGGTTCGTTCGTTCTTGTTCGGTTTCATACTGTCTAGGACTAGGAGTTTTGTAATTTAGTTATGTGTTCGATTTATTAGCAGCATTTTTTATTGATCTATGTTTCTGAATTTGGTTTTATGAATAAGGGCAGCATATTGGCTCCAACTTTCTACATATTCTTTGCTTCTGCACTTCCTGTTATTGCATTTGGAGAGCAACTTAGTAGGGATACAAATGGAAGCTTGAGCACAGTCGAAACATTAGCATCTACTGCTATTTGTGGAATTATCCACTCGATTATAGGTGGCCAACCTTTGTTGATTTTAGGAGTTGCGGAACCGACTGTTATAATGTATACTTATCTCTACAATTTCTGCAAAAATACACCTGATTTGGGTGCTGAGCTCTTTCTAGCTTGGGCTGGTTGGTAAGCTATTTCAGCTTTATACTAATTTCGGTTTCTACGTTTTTATTTTTTACATTTTGTAAATTACATACAATACATGTCTTACTTTCTGTGTTGTAGGGTTTGTTTTTGGACGGCGTTCATGTTAATTTTGCTTGCAATTTTTAATGCTTGCAATATTATCACTAGATTTACAAGAATTGCAGGGGAGTTATTTGGCATGCTTATCACTGTTCTTTTCTTTCAAGAGGCTATAAAGGTGTTGTTGATTGTTTTCTTTCCTCTTCCAAGCAAAAACATTGTATAGATTGTGAATTTGGCAATCAACTTGATGGTAATTGTTTGAACCACAGGGACTGGTAGGCGAGTTCAGCAATCCCAAAGTTGAAGAACCTTCCTCGGAGCAAATTCAATGGCAGTATACAAATGGATTACTTGCAGTCATTTTTTCTCTAGGACTAATCGTCTCCGCACTTAAAAGCAGAAGAGCAAGAACATGGCGATATGGAACAAGTAAGTGATTCCAAATATCTAACACCACACCAGACCTTAAGCAAATGATTTTTTTGTCGTTTACACTTGATTTACCTTATGACTCTGTTGATCTTTATTCTTGCATTTCAATTCAGGGAAACTACGAGGCTTTATTGCAGATTATGGGGTTCCAATGATGGTTGTGTTGTGGACTGCAGTATCTTATATAAAGCCAAGCACTGTTCCACATGATGTTCCTAGAAGGCTGTTTTGTCCACTTCCCTGGGAACCCGCGTCTCTTTATCACTGGACAGTAGCGAAGGTACATACATTGTTTTCATAGTTCAGTCGATTTTGTGCATGTAATCTACGCATGTGTGGTACCAACACTTCATATTCAAGACGTGTCTGTGTCCACTGACATGTGTCGGAGTTAAACACGGTTAACTATAACCTGTGATCAATTTAAGTTAGGAAAGTACTCATATCCATCCAAGTCTAACAGTTACTACAAACTGCAGGATATGTGGAAGGTACCTGTGGTTTATATATTTGGGGCAATTATTCCAGCTTCGATGATAGCAGGTTTATACTTTTTCGATCATAGTGTGGCTTCTAAGATGGCACAACAGAAAGAATTCAACCTTCAAAAACCATCTGCCTACCATTATGACGTTTTCCTACTTGGAATAATGGTATGTTATTTTGTTTTCTTCCTAGAATATGGATTTACGTTATTCCACGTTGCTGATAAAATTGCTTGACGCAATTATCTCTATGGCGAATCTTTAGACTTTGATTTGCGGTCTCCTCGGCCTTCCTCCTTCAAATGGAGTCCTTCCACAGTCCCCCATGCATACAAAGAGTTTGGCAGTTCTTAGGAGACAGGTAATAAGCATCAATAGTTTTTGCATCAAGACTCTTGGTTCTTGATATCCTTTTAAACTTCAACTCAATTTATATCCTTGTGTAACACGCCATTTTTTTGCAGCTGATCCGAAAGAAGGTTGTGAAAAGTGCCAAGGAATGCATGGAACAACACAGTACCAGCTCTGAGTTATACGGGAAAATGCAAGCTGTGTTTGTTGAAATGGATACATCCCCTGGTGTATGTATTGTTGGATTGATAGCTCTGTGTATGTATTGTTGGGTTGATACTAATACATTTAGTATCAACCCCTGGTGTATGTATTGTTGGGTTGATACTAATACATTTAGTGTTGGTTTTCAAATCGTAACAGGTTAAAGAATTGGAGACTTTGAAAGAAGCTGTAATGAAATCTGATACCAAGGCTGGTGCAATGGAACCTTTTGATCCTGAGAAATACATAGACGCTAATTTACCGGTCCGGGTTAATGAACAAAGAATGACCAACTTATTGCAGTCCCTCCTGGTTGGCCTATCAATAATAGGCATCTCCGTTATCAAGAAGATACCAACTTCGGTTTTATGGGGTTATTTTGCTTACATGGCAATTGATAGTCTTCCAGGGAACCAGTTTTGGGAAAGGTTATTGCTCCTCTTCATCGCCCCAAGCCGACGTTACAAGTAATTCAATAGCTTATGCTTTAACTTTTTTTTTTCCAATGTAGAAGCTAGTGTAATACTAATTGTTGTTATTGTCTGTTTTGTATTGAGCAGAATTTTGCAAGAATCACACGCCTCGTTTGTGGAGACAGTACCATTCAAAACCATAGCTGGATTTACAGCCTTACAGTTGGCATATTTTCTGTTCTGTTTTGGGGTCACATGGATACCTGTTGGTGGAATATTGTTTCCGCTACCGTTCTTCCTTCTTATAGTTCTAAGAGAACACGTTCTACCAAACCTATTCAATCATAACGATCTTCAGGAACTAGATGCTTCTGAATACGAGGAAGTTATCGGCGCCCCACGTGGAGTACGTAGTATGTCACTAAAGGTACGGACTATTATGAGTATAGAGTATTCATTTCTCGTTATAAGTTTACTGCAGAGAAAAGAGACCAAAGTTATATGTAATCCTGCATTCTTTATTTTGTACTTTTTGTTAATTTGTAGTATATTATATTCCAAGCTTTCCAACTTAGAATCTGAATATGCTTGATCAGGATAACGAGCCATGTGGTAGTGATACCGAAGGCAGCTCAGAAGATTACTATGATGCAGAGATATTGGATGAAATGACAACCAGCAGGGGAGAGTTGAAACTTAGAGCTGTAAGCTTCAACGATCGAAACCGCAGTAACAGCTTCAACGATCGAAACCAAAGCAACAGCTTCAATGAAGGCAGACACATTTAGGTAGAAAACATGTTGAATCCATCTTAACTTTTAAGAAGCATTTTACCTTAAGATTCACAGTTTGTATTTATTATGCTTGTCTTTTGATCATGGACAGGTTTGACCTGGATATGATGTCTGAATATTAACAGTTTCTTAGGGTTTGATTTTTTTTAGAATGATTCTTTGAAGAGGACTACTCTCAAAATTCTTTTGGAACAAGAAAGGATTCAATAGGTGAAAGAGAAGAATTGCAAAAAGGAAAAGGAAGATAAACATTCATTTGTACTTTGAAATAAGTTTGAAAATTAGTAGGGAAGTTACAATGAAATATTGAGATCAAGGGTCAATCTTAAATTCACCAAAGAGTTAGGTTGGGGTGGAGGGAAAAGATGTATGAGAGTGAAAGGGGAAAAACTATATTATGCTTATTTTGAAGCTAACATATAGATTAATTTTATTCTAACATTTTTTTTATTAGCATTTGTTCTTTTGATTGGATACAAGAGTTTGTGAAGACATTTCACCATACAATGGGTACAATGCAAAATTATTTTGTTAACAACCAAACTGGCAAAAGGGTTTTTAGTGGTTTGAAAAAATGATGGATGAGAAGAATTTGAATTATAAGAATGAGTTACTAAATTTATTTAAAACTTTTTGAAACAATTTAATCTAATTTATTCACCAATTATAAAAATCATCTAATTATATTTATTTAAGGTAATTATATTTATTTAAGGTAAATACTCTGGATACCGATATTCTTTTTCAATTAAATCTTATTATTCAATGACACATAATTTTTTATAATTATTTTATTTTAAGATAAATTTAAATTTTAAATCTATTTGTACTAAAAGTATTATTTAAAATATTTTTTAGATGAATAAGTTCACTAAATATGACATAAATAATGTATTTATAAAATTAGTTTAAATTAATTTTAAGATAAAAAAAAACAGAGAAAAAGGAAATAATTAATGGAATACTTTTAATTTTAATAAAAATTATTATTTTTTGATTAAAAAAATATAAATTTATTAAAAATTGAAAAAAATAAATCTCCAATCCTAATATCATACAACAATAATATAAAAGTGTTTACGAATATGACAAAGTAAAAATAACTGAAATATTTATATTTTTAAATATGTAACATTAACGTCAAATTATCATCAAATTTATAATAAAAATTATAGTGAATATGAATCAACTAACCTATTTAATACATTTTGAAAAGTGTCATCTATGGAATATTCGACGTGACACATGGCTTCACATGACTTTTTCTGGTAGATATTTCGCCAATTCGTTTGTTTAGGATCTTGATCCTCTGCAGCTCTTTTGCTGCTGTTGCTCATCCAGCTCTCATCTCAATCATTTATATATATATTTTTATCTCTTTTCAAAACAACAAATTTTCATTCATTTATTTTTTATTAATTTTGAACCATCAGATGAAGGCAAGAGAGATGGCAGAACAGAAAAAGCTGCAGATGACCCGTTTCTGTTTGTTTATGATCACCAACTCATAAAAGGTAAATGTTTCGCATCAAATGTCTTCTTTCATTTCATATCATGGTAATACCAATGGTAGTGTCTCTTACGAGGAGCATGTTGACTTCCTCCATTTATTGGTTTCTTATTCATGTTTTTTGTTCCCACTTTGTTGATGTTTTCAATTATGTGGATCAAATTGCTAATATCATCCATCAAGAAAGAAAGATAGCCTTAGGCAAATACGCTTTGGCAAACTTCTAATACAATGTGAACAACCTTGCTACCATGATTTGAAATAATGTCCGAGGTCCGATACGTCTTTTTCAACTTTGATTCAACGCTTCTTTCTGCTCCTTCTCGGATTCCTACTTGTCTCTTGAATTAATTAACAGTCATTTCATATGCTTCAATTTCACTTAAGTATGCAATAATTAACAGTCATTTCATATGCTTCAATTTCACTTAAGTATGCAAGTTGAACACTACCTATGATTTAAATAATTTCACCATATCATTTGAGCTGTTTTTTTAAAAAGAAATATGACTTGGCATTAGGGATGTCAATTTTCTTTTGTTAATGGAATTTTTGTGAGAATTATTTATTTGGAGTTCTGAAATTAGAGATTTTTTTTTTTCCGTAAGAGCGAAGATGGAAGAAAAAATTATCCCAATGACACGTTAAAGCGGGGATCGATGAAATACTCTTCGTCTAGTAGATTTCTCGATCTAGACTATATTATTTAGCTTTTATATATACTTATATATAATTATGCATTTTTTTAAAATAAAAAATAATTAATTTATTAGAAAACGAAAAGTCATTGAATCATTTTATTTTTTTGTTTCATTGTATATGTATTGTTTCACTACCCAAGTACTCAAGCCTAAAAAGTACACTCATTACTCATTGTCTCATCTTCTTCTTTTCTCAATTCTCTTTGTCTCATTCGTTACTAATCTCATATGTTCTCATCGTCATTACAATAACCATTCTCTTTTATTCATTGTGTTTATGGTAATTACTCTTGAACTTCAATATACTTCAATTAGTAACATATTTTTCATTCAATTAGTAAATTAATGGTTATGTTTTCGTAACTGCAAGTGTTTTTGCATTTAGATACCCAATTTAAAAATCTAGAAAATTTTGATTTTGAAAGTTTGTTTATCAAAGAGTTTGAGCAAAAGTATTTTTGAACATAAGCCGTCTTATACAAATCGTTATTGGAATCTTAGATATGCAAATATAACAAATTCAATATGGAATGGAATTGATAATTGGAATTAATAGCTTGAATCAATTTACAACTTATTTAACGTTTGTATCAAGTTACTAGTAATGTTATTTCCAATGGAAATTTATCAAAAGAGCTAGCGAAACAATTTGTCGAACACTTGGTGTGCCATTGAGTTTTCAGAATTTTCCTTTAAGTTGTGTTGATACAAAAAGCACTTATAATCAAAAGTGATTATAAGCAATATTAACACTTGATTGAAATCAAAAAATAGTCTAGAAAAATTCTTACAAATCAATTGATAACGCAATATTATTGGACAAATTGATCGATGAAAATTAAAGCAAATAAAAGCGATAAGAAAAGAGACACGAGGATTTGTCTTCACAGTTCCCCATTTTCTTCCTCGCGTGTAGGTACATCGCGTGTACGTACGTCTGCGCTTAATGCTTGTTGTTGATTCAACCCCTTCTCTTCCTTTGATCTTGAGAAAGACAAAGACACAATAGATCCCAATTGAGTTGTCGATATTGCTACTCCTTTGCATTCTTTATCTCCAAAGCTTTCACGCACGAACGATCAATTGTACATATTGCAACACAAGACTTCAATTATGATCTGCCATTCTCTCGCTACTTCCTTTGCTTTTCTTATCTCCAAAGGATACCTTGTGTTCTTTATCTCGAAAGGGCTTCACTTGGCTGCAATCAACTTTTAAATGTCTTGCACAAAAACCCCAAAATCAATCAATGATCTTGGAGGACAAACCCACAGTTTTTCCGGATCAAGACCCCTATAAATCTCAACCCAATATTCTCGGCTATACAAGAACCTAATAAGACGTTATCAAACTGCTGGTGTAAGCCCTAGAGGCTAATATTTTGGTACTCGTATCGAATTATTTATTAATGATAAAAGGCATTTCTTTATTATGTTTGCTTTTCCAAAATAATAAAGTCCCTAGAATAGTTCGTCTGTTTAATAAAATATTAAGTGTGACTTAGTCATGATATCCCATTAAACATAAGTGCATTATTCTTAAAGTATCTGTAGTCGAGCTTTATTGTAAAGTGGGATAACATTAAAGCATTGAGATTATTATGAAGATAGACTGATGATCACATCTCATGGATCATGGATAAGGATTTATCAAGTCTTGCCATCAGTATGAATATTAAGAGTAATGTTTATACTGGATTGACCTACCATGAAAATACTATATAGAATATTATGCAAGGTGTCATAAGTTATTCTCATGGTGATAATTGTGTATATCATCCTTCGACCTGAAACCACTATAGACCTTAGATGTAGAGTTAAGTACTTTATTGTTGATCAAACGTTATCCGTAACTGGATGACCATAAAGACAGTTGATGGGTACTTCACAAAGCATGTTGAGGGACATGAGTGACCTTGATAGATTTTGCCCATCTTACATAACATGATAGGTGTCTAAGGATCCAATATTGAACTGGACAAGGATGACATGGTCTATGCCTTGTGTTTAATATAGACATAAGGGTAAAAGGGTAATTATACACAAATATTATCACATAAAGGTTTTGTCAAATCACATGACATTTTCGTGACTTGGGTAGTAGTGATGTGTTGCTAGATATCGCTCATTGTTTATTATATTAAATGTGTGATTTAATATAATTGTCAACGTCACGAAAACCTACAAGGCCACACACATAAGGATATGTTAATGAGAGATAGAGTAAATAGGGAACACCATAAGGTACGATGCACTTAAGTGAATTGTGGAACACCGTAAGGTACAATACGCTTAAGTGGAATACAGAATATGGTAAGATACCACACACTTAAGTGATATACGGTACATCATAAAGTATGATACCCGTTGTTTACCCTCGATTTTTGGTAAACAACCGCTGATCTTCCAAATCCTTACACGGATCCAGTTACTTGCGAGATCGATCAGATTGATCTCAAGACACGAGTATCTTTATTAATCTTTTAACTTGATTGTTGTATTTAACATGTTTTGTATATGAAGACAAATGACTTCAAATGTCAAATTAAAATGCATATAAAGTGAAAGTAAAATTACTTCTGAATTTGAAATGGTAAAAGACTTAAGTAAATGTTACTGGAAATTCTGCAGAAAGTAAATGCATTTATATTAAATGGGTGTATCATACGTACATCCTCAATAAACTCGTTTCTCTTTAACACTTGGTACTTTGAGTAATTTTTGAGTAATTTGTACAAAGATGTTCACCACCTAAATCGAAATACTAAAGCCACTATTTATACT